ACAGTAATTGTAACTATATAGTAGAGGTGTAACTTATATAATAATATATTAAAACAGTAATTGTAACTATAAAGTAGAGGTGTAACTTATATAATAATATATTAAAACAGTAATTATAACTATGCAGTAGAGATATAACTTATATAATAATATATTAAAACAGTAATTATAACTATGTAGTAGAGATATAACTTATATAATAATATATTAAAACAGTAATTGTAACTATATAGTAGAGGTGTAACTTATATAATAATATATTAAAACAGTAATTGTAACTATATAGTAGATGTGTAACTTATATAATAATATATTAAAACAGTAATTGTAACTATATAGTAGAGGTGTAACTTATATAATAATATATTAAAACAGTAATTGTAACTATATAGTAGAGGTGTAACTTATATAATAATATATTAAAACAGTAATTATAACTATGCAGTAGAGATATAACTTATATAATAATATATTAAAACAGTAATTATAACTATGTAGTAGAGATATAACTTATATAATAATATATTAAAACAGTAATTATAAATATGTAGTACAGGTATAACTTATATAATAATATATTAAAACAGTAATTGTAACTATGTAGTAGAGGTGTAACTTATATAATAATATATTAAAACAGTAATTATAACTATGTAGTAGAGGTATAACTTATATAATAATATATTAAAACAGTAATTATAACTATGCAGTAGAGTTATAACTTATATAATAATATATCAAAACAGTAATTGTAACTATATAGTAGAGATATAACTTATATAATAGTATATTAAAACAGTAATTATAACTATGTAGTAGAGGTATAACTTATATAATAATATATTAAAACAGTAATTATAACTATGTAGTAGAGGCATAACTTATATAATAATATATTAAAACAGTAATTATAACTATGTAGTAGAGGTATAACTTATATAATAATATATTAAAACAGTAATTATAACTATATAGTAGAGGTATAACTTATATAATAATATATTAAAACAGTAATTGTAACTATGTACTAGAGGTATAACTTATATAATAATATATTAAAACAGTAATTGTAACTATGTAGTAGAGGTATAACTTATATAATGATATATTAAAACAGTAATTATAACTATGTAGTAGGGGTATAACTTATATAATAATATATCAAAACAGTAATTATAACTATGTAGTAGAGATATAACTTATATAATAATATATTAAAACAGTAATTATAACTATGTAGTAGAGGTGTAACTTATATAATAATATATTAAAACAGTAATTGTAACTATGCAGTAGAGTTATAACTTATATAATAATATATTAAAACAGTAATTGTAACTATGTAGTAGAGGTATAACTTATATAATAATATATTAAAACAGTAATTATAACTATGCAGTAGAGTTATAACTTATATAATAATATATTAAAACAGTAATTATAACTATGTAGTAGAGGTATAACTTATATAATAATATATTAAAACAGTAATTATAACTATGCAGTAGAGTTATAACTTATATAATAATATATCAAAACAGTAATTGTAACTAAATAGTAGAGATATAACTTATATAATAGTATATTAAAACAGTAATTATAACTATGTAGTAGAGGTATAACTTATATAATAATATATTAAAACAGTAATTATAACTATGTAGTAGAGGTATAACTTATATAATAATATATTAAAACAGTAATTATAACTATGTAGTAGAGGTATAACTTATATAATAATATATTAAAACAGTAATTATAACTATATAGTAGAGGTATAACTTATATAATAATATATTAAAACAGTAATTATAACTATGTAGTAGAGGTATAACTTATATAATAATATATTAAAACAGTAATTATAACTATGTAATAGAGGTATAACTTATATAATAATATATTAAAACAGTAATTATAACTATATAGTAGAGATATAACTTATATAATAATATATTAAAACAGTAATTGTAACTATGTAGTAAAGTTGAAAACAATACAAGAATCTAAACTATTCATCAAAGTAGACAGTCTGATGAGGCTAGTAAAACAAAAACAACATAGTTTATACACGACAAAATTAGTTTGGGTTGAAAGAGATCTGGGCTCACGAGCGTCACCTGAAAACACAAGTAAAATAAAGCCTTCTGAAAATTGACCAGTTCACGAGAAATAATTCAATATACGTAGGATAATCCTTTGTATTGAGGTTATTGGACAGATTTGACATTAGTGTTGTTTTAGATTCTAGACTGTCTATAAAAGAAGACTGAAGTAATTCCGTTTTGATGACCATAACTTTAAATATTCATTTGCTACGATAAGAGTTGAATACTGTCAAAAAACATTCCGATTTCAAACATTGTGTACTATGAGCTTCATTTTAACAATCATCTTATCATCTTTATCTGATTGTGGTTCTTCTTTCAGATCGTTCTTCACATCCTCTCGTTATATTTTTCTTATCACAGTAATCAGTTATCAAATAAAAAGCTGTATAAAAACACGAAACCTCGTGAATATGAGGGAATGACAAACATTGAAACAGAAATAGAAACATCGTTTAGCATAATAATTTAAGATGCGGGCACACGTCTTGGTCGAAGATTTTTGAGTAAAATCTCGCGTGTGCAGGTGCTTCCACGACAAGATTATCGTGTTGCCGACAGCATTTATAATAAAATTGTCTCTGATAGTTTTATCGTCTGCAAGACAGATCGTCATCATCCAATCAGATCAATTTTCCTTTCAATTGCATGCTCCGCAGATGATTATTGATAGGGTGGAAAACGACCTACTGGAGATTTTTGTCTCCTCGTGTGTCCCGTGCCATCGTTGAAACTCAAGACAAGACTCTAATCGAAGGACAAAAGTCTCCGACCATGACCGCTCGTGTGCCTGCACCTGTAACTTTCAGGGTATGAAGTGTGGCATTGGAATAATTTGCTGAAAGGATATAGTTGGGTTTTCCCACTATTTGTATATTTTAGGTAAAAAATTGGCCACCTTCATCTGTAAAGAAGAAGTACAGAGATATCAGTCACCAACCAAATATATAACACGGCGTGATCTTCAGTTGAATATTGAAATCCTTCAGAAATAAATTTAGATTTGTTTTATATTTGATCAGATAAATACAGATAGAGACAAATATCATGGACAGAAAATAGACCATTGTAAATATTTAGCATAAAATCCCCCTGAGATAAAATAGCTATAATCAAATTCTAATCAGACAGTGTAATTAATTATGAATATTTAATCAGTAATAATATTGACAAGGGGAGGTAACTATTAGTTTAGGAGATTCTATCAATATATTTTGTTGATTGTTACTAGTTGACATTTTATCACTGATATAACTTGATTTCATCTTATTAGTACATTAAAAAAATCAAAAACAAGAGGTGTGACGCCAGGCAGGGTATACTTACTCTTCTAGACATCTTATACCATGATGCTCAATGGGTTGGAGGGTGTGGTGCCGCTTAGGGTCATTACATTTTATAAACATTATAAGAAAGATAAAAAGCAGTGTGTGGCGCCAGGCAGGGTATGTTTACACTTCTAGACACATGATACCATCATTAAATATTCACTTATAATTGTTTCGTTTTGCGGTTCGGATCGTTAATACTTGTTTTATTTATTCGTTTCATTATCTCAATCAAGGTAAGGTTTCACTAGTTAGTAAAGAGATTCGTTTTATTTATTAACTCAATGCTGGATCCTCTTATTAGCTCACTGGGGTGGAAGGAGGGATGGTTTGTAAGGAGGGGCCGGGTCATTACATTTTATAAACATGAGAAGAAAGCGAAAAAGTAAAACTCCGTTCCATTTCTTCTATTACAGGTGAAAGACGATTGAGTCACCTGGCGTTTCAAGGAGCTCTGTTGATATCTCTGTACAGAGAGGAGCCGAGATTTAATCAGCCGTTTCAGATTCTCACCTTATTGATGGACATTGATTCACTCATCACGAAATGGAGATGTAAGATATTTTTTAGTAATTTACATTTGCGAAATCAGTGGCTTTACTGCCATAGTAACTAATCCACTGACCGGCGCCCATCACTGACTGGCGCCCATCATTGCCCGGCCCCCCATCACTGACCGGCCCCCATCATTGACCGGCGCCCATCATTGCCCGGCCCTCATCATTGACCGGTGCCCATCACTCACCGGCCCCCATCATTGACCGACACCCATCATTGACAGGCGCCCATCACTGACCGGCGCCCATCACTGACCGTCCCACATCACTGACCGAAATAAAAATTGAAATAGCATTAACTACAGAAAATCTTTAATTTTTCCATTAACAGAGTTAATTTCACCCTACAGTATCTCATAATATAGGGAAAAAACTATGTTAAACAAAAATTTCTAGTTCGACCAGCGGTGGGTGTAAAATTCCGAATTCCCGAACTGTCCGGATTGTGTCAGAAAAGACAAAAAAATCGAAACTAAATTTGTGTCAAAGGTCCTGCACAAATTCGGGAAGCAAAACATTTTACATCAAAAAACGAATTGGTTTGGTCAAATCACAATTTTTTTCTTTATTGTTCGTGTACACCGTGCTAGTTTATAATAATGCCGTCTATGAATTGATATTTTTGATTTTTAATGAATATAATCGCTATTATTCAATGGACACTTTTTGTTGTCTGTGATAATTATCTCCCTTGAATAGCAACCATGCCATGGTGACAACACAGTGGGAGATTTAAATCTAAATAGCTACCAAAAGTTTGAACTCTTGGTTGTTGCAGTTCCTCACAACCAGGCAACATCTTCCCCACCCTTGTCCCCCTCCCATTCAGAAACTGTGTTGGTCGATAAGGGGGCTGCGGGAGAAGATTGGAAACACACCTCTACAGCTACGTGGTATTTGGTGGAAACCTGTTACAGATTTTTTAGGGAATCACACTCACAGTCGAATTCAACTACTAGTACTCCTCCTCCAAGCTATATCCACAGAGATATGTCTAAAATAAAAGAGCTGCTAAGCCTCACTGGGAAAGGATTTCGTCATGAAAACAATATACTATAATAATAGTAAAAATACTAATGTGAAAAGGAAAGTGACTGAAGTCACAAAGTGATTTGACCAAAGGAAAGCTTTTAAAAATATTCAAATGTTTTGATTCCCGAATTTGTGCACGACCTTTGGCGCAATTTTAGTTTCAATTTTTTTGTCTTTTCTGGCCCAATTCGGACAGTTCGGGAATTCGGAATTTTACACCCACCGTTCAACCAGTGTTTAAATTCGTCACCTGAGATTCAAACTGTTCTATATCCACAAAATTGGTTTTCGAGAAAATGGAGTTCAAAACCACAGATCTTTTCAGTACTTTATTGGAACAAAGCGATATTTTGCATAATATTGGTGGTGTAAATTTATTAGATATCATTAAATAGTCTATTTTCAGCATTTACAGGTAAAACATGATTTTGGTATTGGACCTTTTGAACTATTGTTTACACTAACTATCTCATCCTTTTGTGTCCTATTTCATGACCTAGGCCAGTGCTTTTGGTGGAATAAAAGTGGACATAGACCAGTCTGGTTCTCAGGTGACAGAAATCAAAACGTTGATCCTACGACGATTTCTGAGGAAATATCGCAATTTTGAGAAAATAATTGTTGCAACAATGTTAGCATACGACTTTTACCAATCGATCTATAGATTCAAATCTCCAGAGGACAGACCCTGCACACACATGATCTTAGATCTAAACTCAACATTATGAATTGTTGACGATTCGGTATATACAGTGATCCATTCAAACAATATATATAGTGTCGATGTATTGCTACTCTATTTCAGATAAACATGTGTTGATGTATTGCTACTCTATTTCAGATAACCATGTGTTGATGTAATGCTACTCTATTTCAGATTACCATGTGTCGATGTATTGCTACTCTATTTCATATAACCATGTGTCGATGTATTGCTACTCTATTTCAGATAAACATGTGTTGATGTATTGCTACTCTATTTCAGATAACCATGTGTCGATGTATTGCTACTCTATTTCAGATTACCATGTGTCGATGTATTCTTACTCTATTTCAGATTACCATGTGTTGATGTATTCCTACTCTATTTCAAATTACCATGTGTCGATGTATTGCTACTCTATTTCAGATTACCATGTGTCGATGTATTGCTACTCTATTTCAGATAACCATGTGTCGAAGTATTCCTACTCTATTTCAGATTACCATGTGTTGATGTATTCCTACTCTATTTCAGATTACCATGTGTCGATGTATTGCTACTCTATTTCAGATTACCATGTGTTGATGTATTGCTACTCTATTTCAGATTACCATGTGTTGATGTATTCCTACTCTATTTCAGATAACCATGTGTTGATGTATTGCTACTCTATTTCAGATTACCATGTGTTGATGTATTCCTACTCTATTTCATATTACCATGTGTCGATGTATTGCTACTCTATTTCAGATTACCATGTGTCGATGTATTCTTACTCTATTTCAGATTACCATGTGTCGATGTATTGCTACTCTATTTCAGATAACCACGTGTCGATGTATTGCTACTCTATTTCAGATAAGCATGTTTTGATGTATTGCTACCCTATTTCAGATAACCATGTGTCGATGTATTGCTACTCTATTTCAGATAACCATGTGTTGATGTAATGCTACTCTATTTCAGATAACCATGTGTTAATGTGATGCTACTCTATCTAAGATAACCACGTGTAGATGTATTGTTACTCTATTTCAGATAACCATGTGTTGATGTATTGCTACTCTATTTCAGATTACCATGCGTTGATGTATTGCTACTCTATTTCAGATAACCATGTGTTGATGTATTGCTACTCTATTTCAGATAACCATGTGTTGATGTATTGCTACTCTATTTTGAGATAAACATGCGTTGATGTATTGCTACTCTATTTCAGATAAACATGTGTTGATGTATTCCTACTCTATTTCAGATAACCATGTGTTGATGCAATGCTACTCTATTTCAGATAAACGTGTTGATGCAATGCTACTCTATTTCAGATTACCATGCGTTGATGTATTGCTACTCTATTTCAGATAACCATGTGTTGATGTATTGCTACTCTATTTCAGATAACCATGTGTTGATGTATTGCTACTCTATTTTGAGATAAACATGCGTTGATGTATTGCTACTCTATTTCAGATAAACATGTGTTGATGTATTCCTACTCTATTTCAGATAACCATGTGTTGATGCAATGCTACTCTATTTCAGATAAACATGTGTTGATGTATTGCTACTCTATCTAAGATAACCATGTGTTGATGTATTCCTACTCTATTTCAGATAACCATGTGTTGATGCAATGCTACTCTATTTCAGATAAACATGTGTCGATGTATTGCTACTCTATCTAAGATAACCATGTGTTGATGTATTCCTACTCTATTTCAGATAAACATGTGTTGATGCAATGCTACTCTATTTCAGATAACCATGTGTCGATGTATTGCTACTCTATTTCAGATAAACATGTGTTGATGTATTCCTACTCTATTTCAGATAACCATGTGTCAATGTATTGCTACTCTATCTAAGATAACCACGTGTCGATGTATTGCTACTCTGTTTCAGATAAGCATGTTTTGATGTATTGCTACTCTATTTCAGATAACCATGTGTCGATGTATTGCTACTCTATTTCAGATAACCATGTGTTGATGTGATGCTACTCTATTTCAGATAACCATGTGTTGATGTGATGCTACTCTATCTAAGATAACCACGTGTAGATGTATTGTTACTCTATTTCAGATAACCATGTGTTGATGTGATGCTACTCTATTTCAGATAACCATGTGTCGATGTATTGCTACTCTATTTCAGATAACCATGTGTTGATGTGATGCTACTCTATTTCAGATAAACATGTGTTGATGTGATGCTACTCTATTTCAGATAAACATGTGTCGATGTATTACTCTATTTCAGATAACCATGTGTTGATGTAATGCTACTCTATCTAAGATAACCATGTGTTGATGTATTGCTACTCTATTTCAGATAAACATGTGTTGATGTGATGCTACTCTATTTCATATAAACATGTGTCGATGTATTCCTACTCTATTTCAGATAAACATGTGTTGATGTGATGCTACTCTATTTCAGATAACCATGTGTTGATGTAATGCTACTCTATTTCAGATAAACATGTGTCGATGTATTCCTACTCTATTTCAGATAACCATGTGTTGATGTGATGCTACTCTATCTAAGATAACCATGTGTTGATGTATTGCTACTCTATTTCAGATAACCATGTGTTGATGTGATGCTACTCTATTTCAGATAAACATGTGTCGATGTATTCCTACTCTATTTCAGATAACCATGTGTTGATGTGATGCTACTCTATTTCAGATAAACATGTGTCGATGTATTACTCTATTTTAGATAACCATGTGTTGATGTAATGCTACTCTATTTCAGATAAACATGTGTCGATGTATTCCTACTCTATTTCAGATAACCATGTGTTGATGTGATGCTACTCTATTTCAGATAAACATGTGTCGATGTATTACTCTATTTTAGATAACCATGTGTTGATGTAATGCTACTCTATTTCAGATAAACATGTGTCGATGTATTCCTACTCTATTTCAGATAACCATGTGTTGATGTGATGCTACTCTATTTCAGATAAACATGTGTCGATGTATTACTCTATTTTAGATAACCATGTGTTGATGTAATGCTACTCTATTTCAGATAAACATGTGTCGATGTATTCCTACTCTATTTCAGATTACCATGTGTTGATGTATTGCTACTCTATTTCAGATTACCATGTGTTGATGTAATGCTACTCTATTTCAGATAACCATGTGTTGATGTGATGCTACTCTATTTCAGATAACCATGTGTCGTTGTATTGCTACTCTATTTTAGATACCCATGTGTTGATGTGATGCTACTCTATTTCAGATAAACATGTGTCGATGTATTACTCTATTTCAGATAACCATGTGTTGATGTAATGCTACTCTATTTCAGATAAACATGTGTCGATGTATTCCTACTCTATTTCAGATTACCATGTATTGATGTGATGCTACTCTATCTAAGATAACCATGTGTTGATGTATTGCTACTCAATTTCAGATAAACATGTGTTGATGTGATGCTACTCTATTTCATATAAACATGTGTTGATGTATTGCTACTCTATCTAAGATAACCATGTGTTGATGTAATGCTACTCTATCTAAGATAACCATGTGTTGATGTATTGCTACTCTATTTCAGATTACCATGTATTGATGTGATGCTACTCTATCTAAGATAAACATGTGTTGATGTATTGCTACTCTATTTCAGATTACCATGTGTTGATGTATTGCTACTCTATTTCAGATAACCACGTGTCGATGTATTGCTACTCTATTTCAGATAAACATGTGTTGATGTATTGCTACTCTATTTCATATAACCACGTGTCGATGTATTGCTACTCTATTTCAGATAACCATGTGTTGATGTGATGCTACTCTATTTCATATAACTATGTGTTGATGGTATTGCTACTCTATTTCAGATAAACATGTGTTGATGTGATGCTACTCTATCTAAGATAACCATGTGTTGATGTATTGCTACTCTATTTCAGATTACCATATGTTTATGTAATGCTACTCTATTTCATATAAACATGTGTTGATGTATTGCTACTCTATTTCAGATTACCATGTGTTGATGTAATGCTACTCTATTTCATATGAACATGTGTTGATGTATTGCTACTCTATCTATGATAACCATGTGTCGATGTATTGCTACTCTATTTCAGATAAACATGTTTTGATGTATTGCTACTCTATTTCAGATAACCACGTGTCGATGTATTGCTACTCTATTTCAGATAACCACGTGTTGATGTAATGCTACTCTATTTCAGATTATCATGTGTTGATGTATTGTTACTCTATTTCATATAACCATGTGTCGATGTATTGCTACTCTATTTCAGATAAACATGTTTTGATGTATTGCTACTCTATTTCAGATAACCATGTGTTGATGTAATGCTACTCTATTTCATATAACCATGTGTTGATGTATTGCTACTCTATTTCAGATAACCATGTGTTGATGGTTCAGAGAATGATAGGAAGTAAGGTTGGTACTGGGGGATCGTCTGGATATCAGTATCTTAGAGCTACAATCAGGTAATAATCGCAATTTACCAGTTTCCTGTAATTCAAGAAATGTGTAACCGTATGAAACGTCAGATAGTATAGTGATAGAACACCTTTTACAATCTCTTTGAAATCTAGCAATAGAAATTCCAGAACGTAATAATCTCTCAGCATCACCTCTTTTATGTATCACTCAAACCCTAGATTGAATGTTTATCGTTATTTTTTTAAGTGACAGGTATAAAGTATTTCTAGATTTATTCAACCTATCCACCTATATCATACCCCGAGCCTATATACCTCCAATGACCAACAGAATGAAGCGACGACTCAGCGTTCTGTCTACAGAGGATCTTTTAAAAATGAAACAACGAAATGGATCGAAATCAGATTTAATCAATGGTGTTCGAGATCGTTTGTCTCTAAACGAAGATGACGGCGAGGACGAAGAAGAAAAGAAAACTGGACCAGTGAAATTTGAAATATAAAATTCAAAAAATCTGAATTGACGACAAAATGAATAAATCGACTTATATGGGACTTTGGTCGAGGTTTTGATTAACGGAATAGAAATGCTTGTACGGATTTTTATTGTAATTAAATTTTGAGTTTGATGTCATACTGTCTCATTGTAAATAAATACACAGTCTGATTAAAAGTCGACCAAATTTTTGTTTTTTTTTCTATTAGCTTTTACTTTCATGCATCCAATAAAGTTAGTTCTAACGACAGCCCTCTTAAACATTCCTCTCATTAACCTTCAGATCTAATCTGACGACCTTTATTTAGCTGGCGATGAGGCAATGGCGTTTGTTGTTTTATAAACGCCACGCGAATTTCCGTTAGTTATGCAAAAATAAAAGCTAATGTAAATATACACGACTACAAAGAAATGAATCCTATAACAAACACGGCTACATTGTAAATATATACTGTTATATACAAGACTACATTGTAAATATATACTGTAATATACACCGATACATTTTAAATAAATACTGTAATATACACCGCTACATTGTAAATATATACTGTAATATACACAGCTACATTATAAATATATACTGTTATAAACACGACTACATTGTAAATATATACTGTTATATACACGACTAC